GTGTGTGAATTTGAGGTCAGAGCGCAGAGTGATATGATCGTAGATTGTGGTAATAACAATAAAGCGGAACGCTTCTCACCCCCCCTCCGATTTCCGCCTTCGCGAAAGCGTCGTTTACTCGAATTAGTTCGTATATCGTCTATCCAATGTGTGTTGTTTAGCGAGGCCTTCGAAAATGGGGTAAACGAGGACTGCTGCTCTGGTGATCAGGTGAATTATAATAAGAACAGGGAAAAGCCATAGAAATGTTAATGGCATACTCATATAAGGTGCATCTACCTTTTGTAAATGCGCCTATCTCGTAATTGTAACCGTCATCCTGGTTAAGAAGCAGACACAGTGGGAACTCAAAAGCAGAGGAGTCAAGCCAAGTTTATTAAAGGAAGTACAGGCAGAAGCCTTCGAACTCCTTACTGATACATAGTAGTTAAGAAATGCATTGACACAGCCGAACAGTTCAAAGAAGTCGTTGACACAATCAGTTCCAGGAACAGCGGCACTAATCTAGTTTATTGTCTGTCTATCGATTCTGGCACTCTTACTTTGGTTAACTGCCATCAGGGAGCCAAGTTGCGCTAACTGACTGACATAACTTGCGTAGGGTAGGAATTAGTTTTGATACTCAGACCTCTGTCTCGATTTATAAATGATTTGGCCGGCGTAAGGTAATCCTGCGTCGTGCTTCTGCCTTGCGGATAAGGCATGTCAACCCTTTTCACTTACGAATATCGGCATTGTTAGGATACATGGGTTAAAGCCACCAAAGGTAGAACTAACAGCAAGATATGGAGAACGGTAACCTCTTCTGCTCTTCTCCGTGGACGTTGTGCTAGGTTCCAGCACGATAAGGATTAGCGTTACAGTTAGGGTTAGGGTTAATCTAGGGTTTTTGGTTAAGTTTAGGATTAGGGCTATAACTCCCATCCCTATGCATCTTCGTGGTGACTCAACATATTATTCCTATACGCTACCCGCAGAAAGTGAATATAGCCGTCCGGAGTGCTCTGTGCACTAGATTCTCGAAAGCAGTTTTGACCGGAGGAAATGTGAGTACTTGTTCAAACGGATGAATCCGTGGCTTTGCGGCTGAGTCCTGTCCAGCATCTTTAAAAAGGCTGAATGCAACCGGTGAATTATTGCACGTTACGTTTTTGCACATGACTCACAGCTTCGTGAATTTGGCTTTGAAAATGAGAATAGAAGGGACAAATAAGGTAACTATTTAGCGGGAACACGAAAGCGTAGTTCGATTTCGAACCATACTAGACTTCAATGCGTCATCCATGGTGTCCGTTGAATGGTACGAGTTCATTTTATAGTCAACTCAGGTTGAGAGATCTTCATGTCTACATGTCCACTGACTGCTTTCCACTTGCTGTGCAGGGTACTTATAATAAACGCAAACAAGGAGTATAATGACACAACATCTGCGATCGACCATAACGGGATGGAATTTAGGAACTAGCTAACCAATTTCACGGAATGTCTATTTTTTTAGAAGTTTTCGTGTCTGATATAAATCCTGTAGACGCGCCCTCAAGTTCAATCGCCAGAATTACCCAAACAGTAAGTCTGAAGTCTATCACCTTCATTTCAGTAAGCATAACTAGATAATGACCAGTCCCCTCTACCTTAACGATGTCCACTTTTATCTCTACCTCGTCTCAATTACCCGAAATCCTGTTACCACCATATGTCCCCAGCAGTAATGCCCGGATCGCCCGTTCGAGCTCCGCTTCCAAGTTCTACGAATAGCAGCGTCTTCTCCGAGACCATGTCTATGCTTGCACCCAGTGTCGCTACCGTTGAGGCACCAGCGACTCACACCGCCTCCACCACCGCCGCATCCTCTTCCGCCTCCTCCAACGCGACCACCTTCCATCGTCTCTCCAGCTACGTGAAATCTGACTACGATGCCCTCCCCAGCCCCCCACCCCCGAAGAAACAACGCTGTCTGCCCGAGATGGATATGCAGACTGCTGCGGTAACCACCACCACCTCCTTCGAACCCTTACCATCGGCAGCTGGCCCAGTATCGACAGCAACCCCTCTCGGTACTGTGCAAGCCAGTGGCGCATCCTGTGAGCCGCACCCCTTTCATCTAGAGGAAGAAACTACTGGCAACCACGCCATTGACGAGGTAAGTAGTCAGTTAAAGAGAAGGTGGGAGGGGGGAGATTAGAGAACGTAATAGGTCCTGCTTTCAGTTTGTTACTCCTTCCCCCAACATTTGACTAATATTTTTCCGTAAGGTTTCGATCACTTGATTGTAAAATCCTGCCTGTCATGGATTGCCCTCCAGTTGCCCCTTGCGTACACG